TTTTAAGTGCTTTATAAATAAAGTGGTATGGTATGGTTTTAAGATAGCTGTATTTTCCCTTGCAATTATCATAACCTGTGATCTTGTCATTGTGCTCAGTTTCATTAGAAAAGCATTTTAACTAAATATATTTTGAACTTTTTCAGCTGATCTGGCTGCAGTGGTTCTCCACATGCTCTCCTTTGATGTTTTTTTAACTTTGGTGTTCAGTTTGACAACTGTTCATGCCAGGCGTAAATGGAAGCGTAAGTCCACCTTCTATGTCATTTATTGATACAGAAGATCATTTTAAAGCTAAGGTCAATGTAAAAACACAGATCAGTAAGGAAGTAATTATATAGTACTAAGTAATGTTAAAATATACTGTTTTGCAGAAAATAGTTACCAATGTATCTCACTAGAATAGTTTTTATTATTATTTTTTATTATTATTTGTTCTTTTATTGTTTAATGTCTTCTCAACAACAGGTGAGAATGTAGACTTGAAGAGAACAACATCTCAGCTTCAAAGGGAGGTCCAGGTGAAGGAGCAGGACAATAAAGACACCACAGAAACACTGATGGAGGTGAAGACTAATCTGGAGTCATGGATGGACCAACTCAGAGCCACACTGGAGGCCATGGAGGCTGAGAGAGCAGAAAACAAACAGAAACTTCAGTCTGTGGAGAAGGAGATCACACAGAAAGACATAACTATTGACAAATCTGAGAAATTAATAATAATGAAAGAAAACCTGCTAAAAGAAGAATGGAAACTGAATGAGATAAAGGAAAACACTAAAGAACAAATTCTGAACACAGAGAAACTGTTGGGTCCGCTAGAATTCAGGATAACCAACATCCAGAAGCAGGAAGTTGAATAGTCAGTTTATAAGAAAAAGCAGTTAGTTTAAAATTGTTCCTGTTCAGTTTTACAGCAGAGAACAGACAAATGTGTTTCTTCAGGTTCTGATTTATGAAAAAGAATACATTTTAAAGTGGTATTAAACTTTGAACTTGTTCTGTATGTTTCATATTTTTTTACTTCAGGTATACATATATATTGTATGTAAACACAGTGAACAAGAAGTAACTACTTTTATTACAGAGTTCAGATTATTTTATTCTGCAGTTTTATAAGGAAAACTTTTTGTAAGAAATAAAAGTTACTCAGATGTCTGTGTATGTCTTGTATTTTGCATCTTTATTCTTTACAAATTTATTTATTTATTTCTCCTCCTTGAATTGCCACCTTATCGTGGTGGAGGCGTTTGTGCGCCTGAATGATCCTAGGAGCTATGCTGTCGGGGGCAATTATAATTGTCCCTGGTAGGGTCTCCCAAGGCAGATTGGTTCTAGGTGACAAGCCAGACAAAGAGCGATTCCGAAGATTTTTATGGACATGATACAGCAAGGAACTCAGTGGCCCTTGCCCGGACATGGGTT